CCTGAGCTGTCCTCTACTCTCATGGGAAGCCCTGCAGAAAGAGTCCTTAGATTGGTAGATTCTGCTCCTAAGCATGTATTTGAAGGGGCTCTGTTAATTTTGGGGGGGGACACAGCCATTTTACACATGATGCTGTACAAGAGGGAGGAATCGGTACCGAATCTGAAGGTGAAAGGCAGCTTGAGTGACAGTGAGTAGGAAAAGATGGATTTCGTGCTGGAAGGAAAGGAAGGAGCGAGATCAGCAAAGTAAGTCAAATGGACTTTACAAAAAGCAAACTTTAGCAAAATCAGAGAACTGACAGTTAAGGGCCCAGGGCAGAAAACAGTAGGGGAAAAGGAGTTGAAGGAGCTGACGGTTCCTCTGACCTGACAATCCACAAGGAATCCGACAAGTGGTGAAAACACCGGCCCATTGGTAAGGAGGCTGCAGGGGAAGTGCCTGAGGGGGCGGGATGCCCATCAGCAAGTGGAAGGCACAAAGAGAGTTATTGTACGTGCGTGGGGTCAGCGCACTGTCTGTGGCATCGTCTCATGCCCTGAGCAGCAGCAGCAGCGCCTCTGTCCGCTCGCTCTCCCCGTTTCCACACGAGAGAATCGCTGCTTTGATTTTGTGGTGCACGCTCCCCCTGCCCCCGCCCCGTACAGGCATTGAGCCCGACCCCCCGATCCCTCCCCCGTACAGGCATTGAGTGCAACCCCCCGCTCTCCCCCTTGTGCCGGTGGCAGCTCCCTGGTGCGCCCGCGCTCCCTCACCTCATCCACAGTCTGCTGTGTCTCCAGGGTGGCCGACTGGGTGCCCAAGTTGATTTTAGGTTTAGCATCCTGTGTTTGCTGCCGGTCGTTTTTAGACACAGGGCCTATCACAGCTTCCCCCCCATCTTGGAGATGCCAGGTGAAGAGCTTATGGTCGTGGCTGGTGACACAGCTTGAATGGCAGGACTTCTGTTGCACCAAAACTGCACCTACTGTACTAGCTCAGAGTTGCTGGCAAAGCTGCACAAAGACAGAGCCCAGGATGACTCCAGAGCCCAAGATGGATGTGTGCTGGTGACAATTGGAATCACCCTTCCCACAATTTCTTTACCTACAAACTAACGACATTTGATCTGGAGTCCCTGGTGACCCCTTGGGGCCTGTAGTGAGGCAGTGTGGCCTCCCTGTAAGCCAGAGGGGGAAGAGCCACACGCCCAGCTCAGCTGAGCGGAGCCAGGCTGAGCTCACCCTGCCCGCTGGAAGTGGAGCAGGAGTACAAAAGGCAGAGTACCTAGCTCAATGGGAGCCGAACAAGGGAAGGAGACAGACGTGCCCTGTTGGCTGCAGTCCGCTGACCTACTGCTGAGCTAGGAAGCATCCTGGAGCTGGTGAGGCCTGGGGCGCAGGAGGACCAGAGCTGGTGGGACTACGGGTGGCCAAATACCTGGAGGAACCTGATCCAGAGCCCGGGAAGGAAGCCACCTAAGGGCTTTTGTTTAACGGTGTTGTGGCTTGACAGTGGGACAGTATTGGGGGAAGAGTCCCACTGAACCAGTCATAGGACACTCAGCCCGTTTCCACACGAGAGAATCGCTGCTTTGATTTTGTGGTGCACGCTCCCCCTGCCCCCGCCCCGTACAGGCATTGAGCCCGACCCCCCGATCCCTCCCCCGTACAGGCATTGAGTGCAACCCCCCGCTCCCCCCCCTGGGCTGGCGGCAGCTCCCTGGTGCGCCCGCGCTCCCTCACCTCATCCACAATCTGCTGCGTCTCCGGGGTGGCCGCCTGGGTGCCCCTGGGCCCCCCGCACTTCATAGCGCAGCAGCTGGCGGCCGCCTGGGAGACCCCGAACCAGTGAAACGAACGTTCGGCAGCGAGTGACCAGATTCTGTCACGTGAGCTCTGGCCGGGCGGATGTACTGTCATTCATGCTTAAATTCGACACTTTACATGCAAATTTGAATAAAGATGCTAATTATCTTACCCATTCCAAAGATAGCTTCCCCAATTTTCACCTCTAATATCATTAGCTCACAGACATTTACCTCCCTCCCTTCCCCAGCCCCCTCTATCCCCCTTCTGTTCTGAAATTTGATTTGTCCTTTTCATACGTGTTTTTTTTTAATTGTATCCTTTGGTACATATGGTTGTGTCAATTTTCTTCCACTATTTGATCTGGTGAAGTGGGTCTGGCCCACGAAAGCTCATCATCTAATAAACCATCTTGTTAGTCTTTAAAGTGCTACATAGTCCTGTTTTTTGTTTCATCTTTTGAACTAATTCTCATGTATCAGCTGGAATCCATTTGTCTTATTCTTTAGCTACGTCTGCCATCTAGTGGCCATTTCTTTTCACTCAATTAAAGCCCAAGAACCAAGATTTTCAAAACTGGGTGCCTAAAGTTGGGCTCCTAAACACACATATAAGCACTTCTATGTAGCCTAATTTTTAGAAGCTACGAGTACCCGAAGCTCCCACTGGCTTCAATGGCAGAGGCTATTTTTAAAAATTGTACCATGATGTGTATTTGTAAGTTTTCTCCCTGCTATTTCCTTGTTTTTCCTCAAATGTCATTTTAATATGATGGTTACTTTAATTAATTTGCTGGTGTTTTTCTACACAGAAACAGACCCTCTGCCACTCATAGGCATATGCACACACAGCAAAGAAAATGTTAATTAATCCGTAACTTGAAAAAGCATCTCTACAAATTCTGATTACCCTTTTGTTCCCCACAATATTCCACCTCAGCTAACAGTGCAGATTGTAAAGCAAGCCCTTGTATGGCAATATCACCAGGAAGTTTTATTTTCCTTCCCTGACAAAACAAAACAAAAAACAAAATGCCAACCAACCAACCAACCAACAATAGCACATTTCCACAGACCTTTGTTTGTCTGTGTTCACCATAAGCCTAAGGCCATCTTGTATTGCTGCAGTGACTAAGAGCATTTTATTGTGTTTTGAGAGAAGATTAAACCAGATTCACACAGGCTGATAACTGTTGCAAAAAGGGGTCTAAACTTTAAACTGGATGTTTTCCTAATGATGTACTCTAGGAACTATTTGGGGGAAGTTCTGTGAATTACATTACGCAGGAGGTCAGACTAGATGATCACAGTGGTCTCTTCTGGCCTTGGAATCTATGTAGCACTAAATCCCTGATGTAACACCATTGTCACCCGTGTGTCAGACAGTAACACGGATTCTCTGATCCATGCACATGCAAGTTCATTTCAGTCATTCTCAAAGTGGGTGGGAGACAAATGGGCATGTCTTATGAATAATCTGTGACAATTGGGTCAACCTTGAGAAGACCGTTAAAGAGTGTCTTTAAAAGTCTTTTCTGCTCCCCTCCCACACTCTAAAGCTACTCTTTCAGATAAAGGACACACATCATGTACCAGACACCCCTTCAAAATGGACCACACTTGCCCTGGCTCATCAACCATGTAAATCCTCCAAAAGCCTTGCTGCTCCTAAATATTCAAATGGCACAAAACCCAAATCATCTGGTTGCCCATATGCATTTCTATTATACTCCATCGAGCCTTTTGTCTATGTATGCCCCTCAAATGCTCATTTTTCCTTTAGCTACCCTCAAACATACACACTTTTGAGGCGCAGTTTCCCCATCTTGACTAGCTTGAGTAAGTGAGGGTGTGTGTAACCGCCTGTCTGAATGTGTGGCTGTGAATGAGTGTGTGTGTGTGTGTGTGTGTGTTTGTGAGAGTGTGTGAGAGCGCAAGAGACACTTCATTGAGCATAGGGATCTTGTAACAATTGGATACATCTCACTGAGCTCTCACAACATTCTGCCCCAGGATCAAGCTGTTACCCCTTTCCACTAAAAAAAGCAGCTTGGAGATGACGTGTTAACTGGAACAGACCAACAGGACACTTGTGACTTGATCTAATGCACTGACGTCTATGAAGAACACTGTCCGGCGTTCACTACCGCTCACATTGGCAGCCATGGGAAGCAGGGGTTGGAACATCTTCTTATATACATAGCAGGGAGCACCACCTGTCCTATTAAATACTTTACTTGTTCAGACTGTTGGCTATGCCAAGCATTCAGAATATTTATGTCTTTATTTGTTGTATTTTTAAAGGACCCCTTTCCTCAGGTCAAACTGCAAATCCTGTTTTAGTAAAGCCGAGTCCTTTCCTTGGTCTTAACATGGTTAGAGATCTCACATGTAGTCTACAGAGGGACTATTATACACAGTGGGGAAGAGAGGTTTTATACATCAGCATAAAAGCAGAGTAAAATGAAATTGCCTAACCCCCTACCTACACCCACTGAGCTGCAGTCTGGCAGGCAGGACCGATAATGGCAAGGCAGTAGATAAATCCCAGCTGGGGAAAGATTTTCACTTGTTCTTCAAGATGTCCAGATCCTGATTTCTTTACACCAAACAGTGTCAGTGCAAGGGTCCCTAGATGTAGCCTCTGACAGTCTGCCTCCTGTGTGACCTTTGGTGGTGAGTGTCTCTTTGCCTGTATTAGCAAGAAGGTGTGGAGGCTTCATCTGAGCCGTGTCGTTGGTGTTTTTCTCTAAGAAGCAAGAAGGTGAGGTCGGCAGAGGGCAGGGATCTTCATAGTTGCTCTTGCTACTGATGGAGGATGAGGGGGTGGAGCCTGTGGAACCACCCAGACTGTTAGACCTCTTGCGTGACACGTTGCTCCGTCTCAGCGTGGCCCTGGCTGCTACTTTGAAGGCATGGGCAGCCGTGCTGCAGCGCACTTCCTCAATGGTGTTGCGGGAGGGCTTAAAGAGGATGATGTAGACTTTGTTGAAGAAGATGCAGGCCAGCTGCCCAAAGCTGGCAGCCAGTATGGCAATCACCTCCACAGCTGAGACAAACTTGCCATAGGTACTGGCATAGGCAGGTATGAAGGAGATCCACGTAAGTCAAGTTCTGTCTAGACACAGCCTAAAACTACCACTTGTCTCCTGACCACAAGGTGGTAACTAGCAAGGAACGCATGGGGGCCCATGGCTTGGTCCTGATACTGCCTTTGAAGAAAGGCAATAATTTAACTGTGTGAACAAAACTATAAAACAGGAAAATGAAAGCACAGGAAATGAAAAAGAGTAATTTATCCAACTGAAATAGGAGAAATGATTTAGAAAGGCAGAATGAAATCACCTAGGTTGAAATTTTACTAGGGCAGCAGGAACGGCTTTCTAAATCTTAAGAAAAATAGCAGAGGCTCTTTATTTCAGATCTTTAAAGAGGTCAGAACTGCTGTTTTCTGACATTCAAAATAAGAAATATTTGTTATAGTATTTGAATCAAGAAACTTATGGTATCATATACCTGTATTTAAAGAATGGTAATTGAGGGTGATCTTTTGAGAATGTGATTCACACACATAGCAGCACATTTTAAATACTACTGAGAGCTTGTTGAAACTTTCATTTCAGCAATGGCTGCACTTTGGAGAGTAGGACGATTTTGGATGCAGAAATATGTTGACACAATAATTTGCTTTCATTTTCTGAGATGTCCAATACTGAGGCAGCGGTCTGACAGAAGCATTGGAAATTCAAAAATTTACAATTTGCTCTAAAACTGTTGTTATGTTTTCCTCTAGAGTGGAATGGTGTGGTTTAATCAAACTCGCACTTCAATAGGAGTTGTATTGTGCCCACCAGTCATATCAATCTGCTTTATTAATTTCCTGCAGAAACTATGGTAGCTGATTCAATTAAAGGAAATGTTCATCTGTTCAGGGTGAATACAGGGTTGTCTGATGACAGTGGATGGTCTAGAGAATGGACTTTATTTCCTCATAAAATGGGGAATAAAATCCTGAAAATAGAAAAATTAAAAGTTGGATGCAGATTGGAACTGAGGTATGGAGCATTTCACCTACAGCCTGTTGGGGAGCCACAGGGTATGGCCGCGGTGTAGTAGGAATACTGATGTCAGATTCCTGGGTTCTATTCTGGGGGTTTCCTGGGTGCCTTGGAGCAATTTCTGTCCCATCTCTCTCTCAGAAACCCTAACTAGGGATGTAATAATATGTCAATTAACCGATTAGCGAAAGCTGATTGGTTAATGCTATAAACTACATGCATTTCCCTCCCCCCGCTTGCCAGGAAATTTTTTAGTAGACTGGCCAGCATCGCCAGGACTGGGACCTACTCCCATGGCAGCTCTGCATTTAAAGTGCTTTAGGAGCCAGGCAGGCAGGCAGCCCGGTTCAGTTCTGGCTCATGCTGGGTCTGTATCAGAAGCAGCCAAGTACTGGGGAAGTACCAGAAGATTGAAAGAAAGCTAATGCTGTGCCAGTTCTTAATAAGGATAAATGGATCAATCTGGGTAATTATAGGCCTGTGAGCCTGACATCTGTCCCAGGTAAAATAAGGGAAAAACTGATAACGGATTTGATTTATAAAGAATTAAATTAATGCAAATCAACATGGATTTATGGAAAGTAGATCATATCCGACTGACTTGATAACTTTTCGATGAGATAAGTTTGGTGATAAAAGCAATAGTGTGGACTTACTTACTTAGACTTCTGTAAAGCCTTTGTCTTGGTGCTGCAGAACATCTTAATTACAAACGTGAAACAATATATCGTTGACAAGGCACGCACTAAGTAGATTAATCAGTTGGCTAACTGATAGGTCTTCAAATGTAATCTCTCTAGAATTCAAACATTACTAAAAATAAATACTTAACAATGAAATTATTAAACCCTGAGAAACAGAAGCCCAACTTACGTTACTCATAATATCAAAATGTCATCAGATAGTAACAAAAACCAGTTCTCATTGGCCTGACTTTGAATTAGCTGCCTATAGGTGTAAGTTTCTTCTTGCTAGGAAACAAACCACTCAGACAGCCTGCCCCCCTGATATT